AAAAAAAAAAAAAGAACATATTAAGTGTTTGAAATGATTTCATTATTATGGGCAAAGTCCATATTTAATATAGCTTTAACATTTTTTAAATATAAGGCATAGAACACATTGATTTCTCAATTATCGCTGCACCTTGGAACCCCTTATTTTGTTTGTTTTAATACTTGGAACCCAACATAGTTCAATTAATCCAGAATGTACAGGGTTGGTACTACCATGAAGGAGAACAAGTCCAAAGAACATTTTATTTTTATCTCTATCAGGGGTCCAAATTCCACTGAGAAGTGAGTATAAGGTGCATCTAGCTGATTGGCCAATGTTTATGTCAAAAGAGGACACAAGTGAACTAGCAGGGAGCATTATAAAAGGCCTGGAGTGCAAACTCACTGTTGTCTTAGCAGGAAGAGAAGGCTGCAATGGACCCAGCTGTGGCCCTGGTGCTCTGTCTCTCCTGTTTGCTTCTCCTTTCCCTCTGGAGACAGAGCTCTGGGAGAGGGAAGCTCCCACCTGGCCCGACTCCTCTCCCTATTATTGGAAATATACTACAGTTGGATATTAAGGACATCAGCAAATCTTTAACAAATGTAAGTATGTGCTCTTCCAGTGGCTTAAACAATGGGTAAGTAACTGATGGCTCCTTTTTTAATATGTGTGAAAGATAGTTCTTGAGGCATACTATTAAAATAGATCGTTGTACAGCCAAATACTTTGATGTTCCTGTTGTCTTTTTCAGTCTATCATTGCCAGAGATAGTAAAATGAAACAATGCATTTTGTGCATAGAGAAATGTTTAGGTCTTTGGTTGAATCAAAATGATAAAGTGGCAAAAATATCGAGTTTGGTGTCCCTTTGTTTTGTAGCCATTTGCTATAATTTTTGGCTCAAGGTAAAAATGGTAAGGGAAGTATGTGCGATTAGAGAGTTCCATTTAATGAATCATCTATAATATTGGCTGTGTGTTTTTATAATAGTCATGAAAGTTGAACTTTTGTGAAAACTCAATTATGTCAAGGAAATGTGTGTTCTGGATTATCATAAATGAATGAAAAAAGAAGAAAATAGTCAAAGTGCAATTGATGGTATCAGAATTTTTTTCAGTTCTGCTAAAACCCACTATGTGTGGGGGAGAATGCTGGTGGGTTGTTTTTCCAGGAGACGTCATGTGTCCTGGTGCTGCCTTTTGGTGTGCTCGCTCTCTCTGTTAGTAACACCAACGTGTCCCCAGTTGGTATGGGCATTAGAATCACCTGAGTGACCTTCAAAAATATGGCTTTCTAGTGTTCATCACATGGCTATGTAGCCACAATCTCCATGAGAAGAGCTTCAGAGATGATCCAGAAGCAGGCATCTGGGTATTGGTCCCAAAGTGGCTAAATAATTTGGGGATACTAAAAAATTACTCAAGTATCACAGTTTGCATAAGCAGAAGTCTAAACTTTGGTCTTTTTCTCTGAACTCAGTTTCCTTGTTGAAAACAGAGAAAATAAATGTGCTAAATGTGTTGATGTAAGGATAATTGTAATCTGTATTCAAATCGGCTTGGTCAATACCTTGTATAGCATCATCCACCTGTGTATAAAATTCAGTAATGTTAGAAGCTATGTGTAGCATAATAAAAGCATCAAAAAATAGTGATAATATCAGTCCAAATTAAGCATAATATATGGTTCAAATACTGGCTTTCTTTTTTTGCTATTTCTGTATTCTCTTCCTTAGCTCTCAAAAGCCTATGGCCCTGTGTTCACTGTGTATTTGGGCATGATGCCCGCTGTGGTGTTGCATGGATATGAAGCAGTGAAGGAAGCCCTGATTGATCATGGAGAGGAGTTTTCTGGAAGAGGCAGTTTCCCATTGGTTGAAAGAGCTAATAGAGGATATGGTAGGTATACATGTGACTGAGTCAGCAGTGGTGAAGGGGGTGGGGAGGATGGAACCAGAGTCCTGAAGAGCTCCCAGGGCAGAGCTTGGCTCACCTACATGGCTGTGAAGTATCAGCTCCCTCCTCCTTGGCTGGGATTTCTCTCCTACTTTTTGTTTCCTATCCTGGTAGGTGTCGTTTTCAGCAATGGAAATAGGTGGAAGGAGATACGGCGCTTCTCCCTCATGACCCTGCGGAATTTTGGGATGGGCAAGAGGAGCATTGAGGAACGTGTCCAAGAGGAGGCCTGCTGCCTTGTGGAGGAGTTGAGAAAAACCAAGGGTGAGTGACTCTCATTCAGTGTCACTGCCCTTAAAAGACTGCTGTGTTCTTTGAACACATTCAGGGGCAGCCTGATCTTTCGTCATGACTCCTGGTTGTCAGCCTTCAAGTGGATGATGTTAGAGGCAGAGAGCCCAGGGAGCTTGTGTGTGTCTGTCCTGTGTGTACAGGCATGATTGTGCATACGGCACTGGCATAAAAGGTCATTTAATCCTGTCATCTCTCAAACATTGTTTCTTTGTTTTCAAATCAGAAATCATGAATATAGGTATTTTAGAAAAATTTTATTAAAAGTTTGTTTATTTGGGTGGCACCTGTGGCTCACTGAGTAGGGTGCTGGCCCCATATACATATACCAAGGGTGGTGAGTTCAAACCTGGCCTCAACCAAACTGCAACAAGAAAATAGCCAGGTGTTGTGGCAGGCACCTGTAGTCCCAGCTCCTTGGGAGGCTGAGGCAAGAGAATCACCTAAGCCCAAGAGCTGGAGGTTGCTATGAGTTGTGATGCCATGGTACTCTAGTGAGGGTGACA